AATCCTGAATGAAGAACTGTCTATCACATTTTGACAGATTATTTGTCGAAAATCCAGATAGGTGAGGGAAATCACGAAATACATGAAATGAAATTCAAACTCTGATCATTTTACTTTCCTATACTTAAATATCAAGTATTGGCCAGCATATAATTAACTAGTTTCTCGTGTCACTCAAATTTTGTCTAGTCCAACTTCAGTTATTTATCCGTCTTTGTCAATTGAAATCTTTTTGATCTTTTCGATTCCCTCCTACTCATTTTGCTGACATGTTCTGCTTTAAACAAATTATTGGATCATATCGATTTCGACTTTCTTTCCAGCTGTTTGGAATCATGAAATGCAAAAAATTCAACTTCTGATTACTACTTATCTAAACTTCGTGCTAATATTTGGTTAACAGATTTGATTAATATTTGATTAATTATTCAAAGTACTAATCTTATTACCTTGCCATCCATTTGTTCCCCTTGAATTCACGTTCTCCCAGTTCTTATTTTGATAGTTATATAATTTGTCAGTTAAAAAATACTAGAAGAAATTGAGCTATGCACTTCTATCGTAAAATGTTCCTTCCTCTTTTTCTCCTAGTTTTTTTTTTTTTTTTCGTTGGCTTCGAAAATTTCTCACAAAAATTAGAAATTTCAACCTAAATTTATTTCTACAGACTGAAGTTATTTTGCAACGTTTACATTGGTCGAGATGTCAAATTTGATGAACTTTGTTCGGATTATGATGCCGTCGTACTAGCATACGGTGCACGACGTCAGAGGCGATTACAGATCCCCGGAATCGATGCGACGAATGTTTTTTCGGGTGGCGACTTTGTATTTTGGTATAACGGCATGTCTGGTATCAAAGCGCCGCTTTTGAACTGCAAAGAAGCGGTGACAGTTTGAGTAGCATTTAAACATTATGAAGAAATTTAGTGGGAAAATAAGTGAATTTTCTCATTTATCTCACTTCTCGTTCTTTTGACACATTTTTTGGTATAGGACTCAATTCGAAAATTAGTTTAGGTCATTATTGGCAATGGTAACGTAGCCTTGGACTGTTCACGCCTGTTGCTTTCATCTGGAACGGATCGGTTATTGAGAACAGATATCCCAGCATCGATACTGGATACACTTTCGCGTTCTCAGATACGTCATGTAACCATTGTTGGTCGAAGAGGTCTACTCGATGTTAGTTTCTTTTTAAGGTTTTGAATTGACTCTAATTATAATGATGAAGTTCGATATATAGCTACATTCATGAGCACTATTCAAAGAAATTTCAAGTTTGTGGAATAAAACTTTGTTCCCTGAGTACTGATTTTAGTTTTGAGATGGTCCATTTTAGGTTTCATTCACCATAAAAGAATTACGGGAACAAATTACACTCCCGAATTGTTCATTTTCTGTAGAAATTGAAAATTCTGAGCTGCTCGCTGTGAAGGAGGCACAACAGACATTATCAAGACCAAGGAAACGTATTGCGGAACTGATTTTAAATAATAATCATGTAGACAAACCGATGTCCGACCGTCATTGCCAGCTCTTATTTCGAAGAACGCCAACAAAGGTTTATTTTAAATCTAAAAAATATGGCTATGATAGTTTCCAAAAATTGTCATAGTTTTTTTCATATATATGTATTATATCCTGAAATTCAATATTTGGCATTGTTTTTAATCTAGTTTTAATTTATTTTCACTTGGTTTAAACTTAAATGCTACTAAATTTTAATTTTCTTTATGACCTTATTGGTCTCAGTAATGTTCGACAGGGAGTTTTATTTGAATATTCTTTTTATTCAATATTCTTGTGGCATCATACCGAGAAGAAATGGGATATCTGTCATAGGTTGTGACGGACAATCGTGGATTGGTCAAGGCACTGCAGGTAACTCATTCACTGAGTGGTCACAGAGAAGATCTTCCATGCGGCCTACTGCTTTACTGTATTGGATTCGAAAATGTGGCTCTAGATGGGGTACCAGTGAATGCAGATGGCGAAATTAAAATGCTTGATACTGTTCGTGTAGCAACGGAAGAAGAAATTCTAGTTTATGCTGCGGGTTGGTGCGCACATTCACCTCGAGGGATTATTGCACATACACAGGTTTGATCTGAAGCTTGATCTATATAAAATGAATACTATATAACATTCATACACAAGCAACTGTACCACTTTGTGTTAAATAGTCCAAGAATCTTGGCATGCAAAAAATGCCGCAAAGCGAAAATTATATATATATATATATATATATTTCTATTGCAAAACGTGCTGTCTGTCACATTTTTTTGTCGTGCATGTGTGTGAGACAAAATATTTGATACCATATGTTATTAAAGAAGCTCTTAGGAATTATTTCTCTAAAATCCACTTCAAGGTTCTTTTATGAAAAGTTGTTTAGATGAATGCCAGCAATGTAGCTGACCGACTAAGTTCCGATCTACAAAAGTATGGTTTGAAAACTGCGCCAATTACGGGTTCGCATCAACGATTACTATCACGGAAAGTAGAGTACTTGACGTGGGATGACTGGAAGAAAATTGATGCGGAAGAGAAGAAATTAGGAGTTGCACATGGAAAGAAGCGAGAAAAATTGCTGAGTTTTGAAAATTTTATCCCTTCAAATTAACAGTGGAATGCTATTTTGATTCTTCAGGTCTCCAAGTAATGCTTATAAAATCTAAGCATTTAACCATAGCCTTAGCATTGCAGCTCAGAACAAGACAGGAAAACGATTCTTCGATCAAATGCTTCATTCCATCCTCAATCCGAAAAAAGTCACTGCTCATAAAAAGTTTTCTATGAAGAAGCCTTTGCAAGAATTCCGATGAGTACGCAAATTTTTTCTTGAAAATTAGAAATAGAACCAAAATCATATTTCATAAGACGCGTTTGTTCCTTACCATTAGTGATATTAATTGAACATGACAAACAATGATTTATTACAAGATACACGAAGTTATTCCGAGTTTTATGTGTTAGCGTGAATTCGTTTGAACACTAAAAGAAATGCTTGGAACAAAATAAATTCTAAACAGATCAGGGGTTTTTAATTACGTGAGACAATGACTAGTAAAATGCAGAAGGAATGAAGCAATTTACATATTTTTAAAGCTACGATATACGTAAATTTTCTGTGTTGCAGAAAATTCTTAAATTAAGAATTATATTTTAATTTTAATCGGTAAACAGAATAGACTTAAAAATAATTAGCTCAACTGTTTACACATTTGTTCACTCTGCAATTGGTACTAATAATTTAGAGAAGCGGATATTTCAAAAAAAAAGTGAATTAGAATCGTCTCAGTCGTTTTCAGCAACCAAATATCGATTGAAAAAAAGATGTTCAAATAAGAGTGACACAAATTTTTTATACAAATGTTATTTAAACATATTCGGGTCGCATAAATGGTGCAATTACGCAAGCAAATGTATCCAAAACACGCATTACGGATGATCGTTCCAAATTCATCCTATACATTATATCTTCAATATGATGCTCACCATGCAAGTAGGGTGTCATCCTGAAAAGTTTTTTTTTCTAATACTCATTTTTATCTAAATGATTTTTGAAATAATGGGACCTTACCTTAGAAATAGATCAAATAAATCTTCAACATATCGCTGTGGATGTTGCTTAAGCATCGTCTTATATATCTGAATCACTGAAGCCTTAATTTCACTTGTCAGCATTGCACCTGATAATAACTTATGTATGTTATCATCTTCTTGGAGTGTGTCCATGATAGACCTTAAAAAAGATCGTAGAAAATTTATCGTTTCTCAACAGCACTCTCTGTTTTCCTTACAAAAAAAAAAAAAAAAACGAACTCATTGACAGTTTCATGCGAAAATGGTGGCATCAAATAAAGGAATGTATGAAGTTGCATAATCAGCTCATCTCGCAATAGTCGTGCAACCATTCGTAAGCGAAGTTGCTGAAAATAGTGCAACTTCGTGAAGAATAATATGAACCGAAACGAGAAAAGGTTATGCCTCACTTCATTGAATCAAACTAAACAGAAATAATTATATAACTTATAATGTTTGTATGAAATTCTCATCAACTTAATTTAATGATTGTTATTACATTGTTCCACACTTAAAATCAATCTAATTTTAGTTGGTGGTGACGAAAAACGGACTATCGTCTTTAACTTTTACGATACGATCTCATAAACCTTTTTATTCTTCCAAATAATTAGACACAAAATTTCATTTGTAATGAAAATTCTTTCACTGAATGCATTTTTTATACTCGATGTGGATGAAAATTCACTAAGAGTCTATCCATCAGTATCAAATTGGACAAAAATACTCCTATTGTCAACCGTTCTTGAAAGGTCAACATAAAGATGAGCTTTAATAATGACTCCTAGATGATGGTATTTCTGGTGAATCGAAGGAGAATGAAAACTGAGATGAGACATTCATAGAAGCCATTTAGAACAATAATTTTAAATATTTCTCCAATGATTATCCCATGAATATGGATCATCATACCTGCTCACTGAAACTGTGCATTGAAGCATTCATAAATTCCGCTAATGTACATGGTGGAGAAAATTCTGCCAGTATTGTAGGTAGATAAGCATTCTCGAAAATTTCACCAAATTGTTCACTTAGCCTTGAAAAAATGGAAAATAATTGTTAACCTATTTCTGTACCTAATTTTGAAGCTATAAAAAATTAACATTTCGAAATTTGAATTATTAGAATTACCAAAGGCCGCATAGATCAGCAGAATTTGATTTCTTTCATTATTCTAACAATATTTTTATGATTTTTTTTTCATAAAGATTTTGCCCATTCTTCTCTGAGGAAGGAGCTACAAATGATAGTTTTGAGTTTTTTAGATTTAAATAAACATAAAGGGTAACACGTAAAAGTTATGGTAACTCATTCCCTGTCAGCTGATCAACAGAGTTCTATCAAATTAATTTCCCATCATAAAAGGAAGTGTCAGAAACTGAAAGTTAACCTTGACAACGGTTTCGGTGACGTAGCAGAAGTGTAAACGTTACTACTGCACAATGGATATATAACAATGGCGCGTGCCCATAATAGTAAATGCCTAACGACTGTAAGAACTTGAAACAATGGAAGACCTGATGAATCGCTGATGCTCATTAGGCTGAAGAAGAAAAGAGCATTTGAGTTCTAATATATCCAATTTCAAACCTCAATTTCATTATTTTTTTCATTTTTCCTTTTTTTGTTTTAAATGTAATTTTAAAAAAAAGTCTAGAAAACGAATAAACCTCTGGTCCGGGTGACAGTGTTTCAGGAAAAAGTGCAATGCTGGATTTGAGTCATGTCCTGGCACAGTATCTTCCAGCAGTAAAATTCCGTGATATGGCTTTAGGCGTAGAATAGTTGCTTCTATTTCACTCCTTAAACATGACAAATAATTTTTTCAAAAATTTTTAAAAACTATAAGAACAATTCGTATGAAGGTTTTTAGGTACACAATAATACTGAATACATGAATTAGTCTGCAAATTCATACTTACTTAGTTTTAGGTGTTAGCCCTGCATGTAAAAGCGCACGTGGTTGAACGCAAAAGCCAACTTCAATACAATCATTTAAAAAAATGTGAACTACGCCGTATTCACTAACATCATTGAATATATCACGAAGATCCTGTGCCAGTGAACAATGTGTCAGCACTTCATGATACGGAAATGATTGGCCTAAATTCATGTTAAAAAGATAAAAAGAACATTTTAGTCTTCCACAAATTATCAGTTTACATATAGTTCACATAACACTCACGAGTAATACGTCAAAACTGAAGGAACTATGTGTAATTACTTTCTGGAAGAGATTCGTTCTTCTCATGTTCATTTAATATTGCTGTCATTTGTTCCGCCAAATAATCGCAACGTGTTTGCTCTTCATCGATTGCAATAGCAATTTTACGACTAAAAAAATCAAAGATGAATAATCAGTGTTTCCAAATTATAGAAAGCATTTTCCTACATTAATTCAAAAGTTCCCAGTGTTTTCCGTCTAGGATTTTAATTCATAACAGAAAGGCACCTGAGCTCCTGAAATGAAGTAACGAGATCGGCTGCTGTTTTTGCATTTAAAATGAAAACAACATGAAATGTTTGTGGTGAGCGACCGGTTGGACGTGAAACCTTAAAATTATTACATTAATAATTAACTCTCCGCTAGAAAATTTATTATAAAAATATAACTTTCTGGATATAATTTAGATCAATCATATTTGTCTTAATTATGTTTAAGGTTTAACGATTATAGAATTCTTCCATTGTAGTATTGCAAAACAAATTGTTCAGTAATAACTTGGAATATAATTTTAAGGTAAGTGGATTAAAAATAGAAACAAAAGCATCGAATGAATGGTAAATCTTACGGTCTTAGGGAAACCAGCAAATCGTATATTATCAATTTTAATTTCGAATGGTTTTTCACATGTACCCCTGGCAGAAAGTAAATGAGCAAGGATTTTTGTTGGTACCCTGAAAATTGGGGATTGGTTTTTCGCTGGAGGCATATGTAGTATGCTTATGCAATTTTGACCATAATTTAAAATATAAACGGAACAATTGCACTTTAAGAAATCAAAAAATTTGTGCCAACTAAAATCAAAATTAAAATATACCCATATTGCTCTGCATCACTCTGATTTCGCTCATCATCACCTTTCAGCGATTGTCTAGAAATTGCAAAAATTATTTACATGAATATATAAATTTCATATGAAGTTATATCAAAAAAGAAAACTCTGACATAAAAATTTTATCATGATGTATTATATAATTTCTCGGGAAACTTTACCAGCAAATAAGAAAGTGCCATTGCTATGAGTGTCACAAAATTTGTCCTTCATGGAACTCTTATCCTGTTTAAGCATTGTCCGAAGGGATTCTTCGATGTTCTTACACATGATCAACTCATATAGCAGTCTTAAATTTAGAAAATAACCAAACTTACGCGCAAATAGTTCGATACGGTTCAGAAAATGGAAAAGATTGTGATTCTGAAAAGAAAGAAAGTCGAAATTGATATAATTTTCTCGTTCTTCAATTTTTTTACTATGAAACATCGTTTTTTCTTCTTGTTTTTCGTGTTTTTTTTCTTTTTTTTGAAATTTTAAGTCTTTTAATTATTACTAATAGAGATAGTTTATGATGAATTATAAGATTATATGTTTAGATGGAACCGGAAAATTCGACAGTATATGAATAAATAACATTAAAAAAAGAAGCATACCGGTTGGAACGGAGGAAGCACTCTGGAACGGATAAGCAAACGAGACTTGTTCATGATTTTCACCCATTGTAACAAACATGATACCCAACGGGGAATACAAGTAACGCTCATCATCCATCCTTCACATTAAACGTCTTATAACCTGAAGTGATAATTTACATACAATTAAAATTGAATATCGTCAAGCAAAAACTCAGATTTCTGGAATTCATTGAAGATCAGGAATGTACCATTATCATCTTCCTGAAAACTCTATTTTATTGTCAATATCTTTATCTAATATTTGCAATTTTCTTTTCAAACTTTCCAGGATTACAATTCTCGAAGAAATTTTAAAATTTTAATTTAATTTAAAAGGAGAGAAGCGAAACAAAGCTTAAGACTCCATTGAGATCTTCGAACCACCTCAATATTTCGCATTACTTTTAGCTTTCACTTATTTGAAATACCACACATTCTTATCCCTGCGTTTTATAATGCAACTAGATCTAAGTATAAAACGTATTCAGCGGAAAAAAAATTGATTACAACAAAAAGTTCCTACCACTTGTCGAACTTCAGTTTTCTTTCTATCCGATTAATGCATACCTCCTTGATTATTATGTCCCGGGAAAAAGCTCCAAAAATATCCCGCTATTTCTTCATTGCTTCATGTAACGACCCAATCGGTACGTTCCCAATAATTTCAACAGTTTGCTTTTGTGAACGTTACTGTTTATTACATAATTAATATGACAGAAAAAGCAATACATTAGATAAATTGATTCCTAACCAATGATCTGCGAGTATCTAAATTTGAAGGACTAAAAAAAATTATATCCCTTCTTTTTATAATGTTGCATTAAATTAAACTAATACATCACAAGTTTTGACTAAAGTATATTTTGAGAATAACAGAATTTTTTTATTTTCTGAACCATGCTACAAATAAAAAAGCTTAAGTGGTTTCTGGTTAAGGTGACATTAGGAATTACTTCACTAGATAGTATTATTCATTTAAAAGATATAAATACAAATTTTAAAAATGAATAATCAAAAATTGAATGAAATACTAACATTCCCTCCAGTAAATAAATTTTGGCAGTGCTACAGTATAAATAAATGATCAAAGCATCAATAAAAAAAAAAAAAATCACGCAGGTCAATCTTTTAACACTACTTTACATTCTATGAATTATCAGCCAAGTCAATCAGTAAAAAGCTCCCTATTCTAAATTCATTTCATTGGCTTTATAGCCAGTCCAGAAGTATAGTTTATTAGTCAGGTGAAAACCGTTTCTCGACATGGGTAAATTTATCAGAAACGTACAAGCATATACTTTAAAATCCCACTAAAACAAAGCATTGAAAATGTAGATAAAGGGGCGAGTAACCAAAAAAGGTACATGAAATGCGTAATGAATTGAACCACAACCCAAATTATAACATATAACAATATTTTAGTAACCATCATCAACACCGGTAGTATCTTCATCGCCGTAGCTTTCTTCTATATTTGACGGATATTTGGATATCTCTAGCTCGATTTCATTCCTTTAAAAATGAACTGATCATCAAAAAACATCAATTGCATAATAGTTAAAAAAATATTACTGAACTTTGCATAAGTTAAGTAGATCAAGTGAATTTTAAAAGAAAAAAAGAAGTTTGAATTGTGAACTGATTTCATAGAAAATTTGATAAGCTTAGATTTATTATGCTACAAGCACTGAACATTTAACACACAACTATTATCAGAAAAAGAATTAACTCGCTTAGAAAACGAATTAATTGATCCATCGTGAATTTCTCTCCAAGCTGATCCGTTATGCGGATAAAGTTACCCACCAATAACTCATCCCGATAAACTTGCAATGCCGGAAGAGCTTTCATCTTCTAAATTAATAAATTAACAAATAATAGAACGACGGAATTTGACAACGAAAATATCAAAATTTCTAGTTTAACTTTCATCAACCAATTTCAAGAAGCAAATATATGATGGGAACGTAAATGAAAGCAAAGAACTTTGTGGTAAACATAGTACCATTGCATATTGGGAACTATGAATTCAAACCCTCATAATGAGGTAAAAAATTAATATATAACTCGCTAACTGATCACTTGAACCAAATCAAATATCTCAGTATTTCGAATCCAAATTGCAAATGCAAGCTTGAATACAAAAAACTACATTAATTTATAATAAACATACGAACTGTGGCGACATCCCAATCGTCAGTGGTAAAACTTTGGCTAGCCTCAAATATGGATACCGAATGGAAAGAGTATTAAAGATTTTATTCAACGTTATGCAGCCCTCATTATCTTCGTCGTAAATGTGAATGAGAACCCACCGATCACGATTTGATTCGATGTAATTCAGGAATTGTTCTTTTTCTGTTAATTCATCTACCTGCAAACAAGAATATTTCACTTTATCACTTAATAATTTTTTTTTCCAAACAGGATGACCGAATAGACTTAGATTTTCCAATTCTGCCATCCTGGAATACATAATGAACAAACTGTCCCTAACCCAACCAATAATATATCATAAATACTATATCTACAACTTACATGTATTTGATGAAACTTTGTAGATGAAATAGGAAAATTACTAAAAGATTACCTTCCTTATAGCATATAAACGATCCTTCATTTCTAATAATCTTTTCCTTCGAATTTCTTCCAAGTTATCATTTTCTGACTCTCCTGACAAAGTACACATTTTGGCTTGAGCAATAATCTGGAAGATACAATAATTAGAATATATTATCAATATACAACGAGAATTTCTATAAGATTCTTACAGATGATAAAACATTTACTTTATTAACTAGAAATCATAAATGTTCAATTTACCCATAAAATCACCCTTTAGCTGTTCTAATAATATTTTTAACATCTAAGCAAGCATGTCAATAGTAATGTCTTTTTCGTTGCATCAATTTATTCACAAGACGACAATTTTTCTGGTGATTGCCATCTTACATTGAACTTACTGTACTAACAAAAGAATAAATACCGATTTCAATCAGTAAAAAATATGCAGCAGAAAATGGTAAAGTAACAGTCCCAAGATAAAACATAACTTTCATATAAGCTATTCCTGCACAGGTTTTACTGATCATCTTTGATTATGTCATTTGTTATGTTTTTGCCGTTGTCATCCACATTGTTAATGCATTTCCGATTAGTCTTTGATTTATATTATTTGTCTAAGATCAGCCATTTATACTAGTTGTTCTACATAATTTCTAATCTCAGTGATTTGTCATACAACAGCTAAGAGTTTTTATTTGCAACAATTCAGACGATAAATATACTCATATAGCATATGCTTTATGTACTATATTCTTTGTGTTGAATATGGTAGGATTTTGAAAAATGATAAATGAATAGCTAATATTCGATTGATATAGAAAAAAAGAAATAGAAAGAAGAATTTCTACCTGTTCATATCTCTTCATTTCCTCTTCTTCAAGTTGCTCCTTACAAATCTTATAATCCTCTAATACTCCTTTCGGTCCTGTATTCCGATAATTCCTTGGTACTAATTGCTTTGTTCCTGTAGCTTCGTCATGATGGTGGTACGTTTGTTGTAAAGTACTGTCAATCCTCTTATCATCTTTAACATCTTCATCACTACTGCTACAATAACCAACCGTATCACAGTATAACAATTTTGCTTCTAAATCACCCATCCCTGAAATAATGATATGATAAAATTACGAGTAATTTTAATTATCATTAATTATTTCCTTCAATAAATTAACTATAGAATACGAGCTTATTAAAGATTTCCGGAATAACATAATTGTTGTTACGAATAAAGAGAAGAACATCTTGTGAATACATCAACAATCGAAACTAAACGGCCAAGCTATACGATTACCGTTCCGGACATTTCCGGAATGACCGAGATATGCAAGAAAGCACAATCGCAACTCAAATATAAACCTGGAGAGCGTGAGTTGTTTTCGGTAAACTTGTAGTGATGAGTGGCATAGGTTCACGTTGTGTGCAAACTTGACGAAGTAAGGTTGTCAACAGTGACTATTACGGTGTTCCGGAAATAGTAAGACCGGAATATGCAATGATGGAGTAAGATTCAACAATAGTTCGATATAGACCGGAATAAGCAATTAGGAAACAGGGAATTAATCGAGAAACTGTTCGTATTATTTGGTGTTTCATATTTTTCTCGAGCAATAGTAGGGTTGTGTACCGTATGTGACGATTGTCTCTATCAGAAATTGATGATGCTAGTAGATGAATTTTTGTTTTAGTTGATATACTGTAGTTTGCGTTTGCGTGGTATGATATGTTTTGTTTTTTTTTGTGATTTTATTTGAAAATTCTAAGCATATGATTTACTGTAATGATTCTTATACATTGCGATGTTATAAATTAATTGGAAATAATGCTTGAAGTAAAGCGAGTGATATTTTATGAATTAATACGATTCATTCTAGTAAATCATACGTAAATATCCACACGTTTGTATCTTAGAATCTTTGGATAAATTTGGAAATATAAATTATCATAAGATTAATTTATATCAGCAATACATTTATGGATATTATTGCAGGTTTGAAATGAATGAAAAAATGAATTATGTGAAAAGTACCGTAAATTTGCTGTGGAAAGGTTACGGTCAGATTATGACGAAATAATCAAAGTGGCAAATTGTATTGTGGATGAAGTGAAAGAATATGAAACTTTATTACTCTTCATTGATAAAATTAAAGTTAGTTTTAAAAGAAAAATTATTATTACTCAAATTTATAATAATTATTGGAGTACGAGGATGATTTTATCAGTAATCAGGAAGGAGGTGAAATTTAGTTAAGTACAAAATTAATTTCAGTAAAATCGTCTGAATTGATCGGTTAACCTATCCTTTGAATGCATGTCTAATTTGATATGTAGACATGTTGCATTTATCAAGCGAATCTTATTAATGTGGGCTATGAAAGCACCTCTGGGAGTACTTTTATGTGCTAGTTAATTTTTGGTAGTGTGAATAAGTTTATAGTAGTTTTTTTCGGAATTTAGAAGTTAGGTTTTTCAAAGATTTTTTAGTTCCATATTTCAAATTATCGCTTCTCATCGTTTTTTCTCTCATCTTAATATGTTTTTAGGTATTGGATTCTGAAGAACCATTGAAAACACAGATGAATATTGGTAAAAATATCTTTTGTGAAGCTGTGATGTTAGTTTCTGGTGATGGATTTTAACATTTATACGGATTACTATGATGATTTTACTCTGTTATTGGATATTTAACAATATGAAAGAAAAAAGAGAAAGCTTTTTGAGTTGTTTTTGACTGTCCAAGTTAAAGATGTTTATAGTGGTCAGCTTGACTGATAACAAATTGATGAACGGTGTATAACTGGTAGATGTGGAAAAATATTAGAAAATTGTTTCACTGTTTTTTTTTTCCTATCTACTGAAATCAGCTGGTCATCATTACGATAATTTTTATCTTATAGTGATAAATGGGATCGCGTGATCGTGAAATTATTCGATGATGTCTACGCCGAATTAACTTTGAGACGGGCTGAAGTAGGTCATATTGTTTTGAGAAAATAAATAATTTCTGGTTGGTAATTTTGTAGCACAGTTTCATTGGTGTTTCCATCCCATCGTTTTCTCTTGCTTTTTTAGCCATCCAAATTAGGGTCTGAAATTTTTACAGATAGAATCTTATTTCTTTGTAATTGTCAATAGAAGTAGTAATTGATTGACGGGTTTAATTTTGACTGTCTTGCAGGATTTTATTACGAAGAAAATTGAGCTTCTAAATGAACGTGCTGCCTTCTATGAACGAGAAGCGCATTCGATACGTGCCAGAATGCACCTAATACTCTCTTCTGTGAAGCAGCTCGAAAGCTTGTGATTTCTGAAGAGGTATGCATTCTTGGTTTATTGAATTTCTGCTAAATTTGTTGCTTTCTTTAACTTTTGATTTGTACTTGGGGCTGTTATTGCTATACTTTCGCATTGCTATCCAAAAGCCTAGTTATGGTGAAAGCTCTTTCATTATCGTCTTTAAATCTAGACCTTTGCAGTCTATTCTTCAGATTTCAATTAACATAATTAGTTTCTCTTGGAAACATTTGTTTTAGATTAGGTGGTTTCGGTAAAGGATGGTCCAGTGATTTGTTACCGGTGAAATTTTTGAGAATGATGGGACAGAATAACGACTAACACTGTGATATCTTGCTTCTTCTATCATCTATTAGAAATGTCATAATGTTGTAAGAACAATTCTCAGCATCAGAGATAAATTAGTTTGGAGCCGTAGCTTGTGGTTTACACGTGATTATCCCAGTCTTTTATTCCCTGAAGAATGGAAAATCTTAACTATTTGATTATGTATGCTACAGTTTATGGATTCAAGAATCAGTGATGTGCATGTGACAATAATGCGCTATCTGAAACTAATTATTGTTGTCGTGATCATTTCGACATTATTCTTGTTAGCATCAAAACTTGACAGATATTATGTAAATTAAGCCAGCCAAAGGAGGCAGTTTAAAGTGATCGATGAACATCAGAAATGGATCCGAACTGCTGATATCACAACAAGCGAATGGATTACATGGGACGTTTAGCCTTAAATGAAGCCATGTTGGATCGATTGTACATTATTTTATAATTGTAATTGATATCCTTCTTTCTGCTGCGCAACTTTAAATAAAAATGATTGTATCTTTAGTGTGTGATCCAGTAATGTAACTTTTGTTGTTGTCCAAAGTTTCAACTTATTCTTCCGGAATGTTTTGAGTTGTGAAATATCTATAAGCATAGTGAAAATGTTTTGGAGAAAATTTTTTTCTTTCAATTTCAGATTCAAGAAGTTAAATTTTTGGATCGGAACTTTTACCTCTTTTTCTGTATTTTGTAGCACTTTTTATAATGAAAACTCGGAAAATCTCTGAAGCAACAATTCGACGATGTCTTCTTTTACGCCACCGAAATGCAACCAATTCGTTTCCTAATGACGTCGTATATATTTTATCGGAAATTGTGACGGAAATTGTGAAGGAAATATTGTACAGGTGTGCTTTCTTGATTATTTATGAAGTGTGGTGAAGTTGGAACTATTTCTTAGTAACAATTTATTAATGACGTAGTCATGTATGAATTATCGCGATTCATTTAAAGAATACTGCAACTTGAGATCATTAAGCCTTCATGTTTTAGTACGATGGTTATGATTCTCAATATTTGTTGTGTTTTTTTTTCTGCACCTGCCATAAATAGAATTTCATTCAATTTTCAGTCAGGTATATGAATTGAGTCAAAGTATATTTCCCTTTCTGTTTATGAATTTTTTCATTTTGAATAGTTTAGTTGTTTCTGTACGAAGAATGGATTTGTTTCAGATTATAGCTTCTCAGTCTGTTTGCATATCGTTGAAACATTGGTTTTGGAATTTTGAAATTTGGAAATTGAAGTTTTGAAATTTGGAATTTGAAGAATTGGTTGGGAATTTTTTTCTAATTCTAAAATCCTTGTTTAATTTTCACTTTTTACAGAAGTGCTACCAATGCCGAAGAAAATTGTTCAGACCGGGTAATGCTGGAAAATTTGCACAGAATTCTACCACAATCATTTTTTGACTTTAATTTGTAAATGCTTGCTTTTTTTACTGTTTTTGTTCAGTGAAATCTTTATAAAAATTCAGTTTCTGTTTGTTTTGCTTTTTAGTGGATGGTTTTCGCCTGATTACTTGGCACTATTTGTAAATGTGAAAGAGAAATGATATGATAGCTGGAGGATTGGTTCAGTTTTTCATATTCTACAATTCAAAACATTCCTTTTCATTTTATGTAGATGCTAAAAAAATGATTTGTTAGAACTCATTATTAAGATTCAGTCACCAATACCTATCTAATGAGTATTTATGGCGGTGTTAATTATGTGGGAATTGAGTAATACGACTATCTGTTATGAGAATTGTGCAATGTGCATTAAGTGAAAATCACGAAATATAATATATCAACACATTCTATTTTGTTTGCAATTGTGGCTTGTCTCAAAGAGATAATTTGGGATGTTTCTCAAATTTTGCGGCCTAAGGGTCATCCTCAAGTTTCATAAATTGGTTGGATCAATCATTTCCATTTTTTTCTTTTTCTTTTTTTTTTGTTAATTTTCAGATTGGTAATTGTTGTAGCCGATGAATAGCTGATTTTGAACAATATCAATATGACAGAATTGTTGCTTGACCCAGCCATACGAACATGGGTTTTTTTGCCAGTTATTCTGATAACATTTTTAGTTGGAGTATTGCGACATTATGTAGCTTTGATATTCACGAGCAGGAAGAAATTAGAGTTGCAACAAGTGCGAGATAGGTTACTTTTCCAGTATCTTCTAGTTACTCTTCCTATAGCTTTCCTGTTATGCATTTGTATGCAACTTTTATCAGTCCTAAGTTTATCGACAGTCATCATTGCAGTCTATTATATCCTTCTTATTTAGTATTTTCTTATTTCGCGTTTATAATTTTCAGCCAATATTTGATACGTTCTCGATTATTACGAGAAAATGGACGGTTCTTGCCGAAAGCATCGTTTAATATGCGAAAAAACTTTTTGCTAAATGAAGAAAACGGGTATATAACAAAGGTTTAGTTTTTTTTTTTTTTTTGTAACTTATATTGATGAGCAGTAGTGTTATTACTGTTTGATGCAAATGCTTAAAAGTTGTACCGGAACAAATTATTTAATATGAAGTGTAGGTATGATTAAGAAACTTAATAAAGATAGCAAAATCAAAAAATGGAATTCCTAGAGGCATAGCAGATAAAGTCTCGATTAACTTTTGATTTGAATATAGCAGCGAGTTCAGATAGATTTCATATCAAACAGTATTGGTATAACTACTGACCATTAGAAAGCACTTTAATTTTTTAGGGCATGCGACGACCATCACAGATGCAAAATCCAATGGCTGATCCAACAATGATGACGGATATGTTGAAGGTTGTTTTTGTCCTGATTCATTACTTTGTAGAAAATTCTTATTTATGCAACTAATTCTTGATATCGACTTTGCACATCAGTTTCAGATGAAGCAACAGTTTGAACTTAGCAATAATTTATTTAAGTTTGAGCTGATGCATTCCATCTAAAAATTTGAGCATTTCGAACATTGAGAAATTGTTCCGTGAATGTCTTGCAAAGATTAGAATAACAGCTTCCAATATTATCGAAAATATACCATCTTGTTTGCAAAAATCCCTTTTGTTTTTGATTTGAGTTTAGAAAAGAAGATATTGAGAGAATTTATGCTTGGTCAAACCACTAGTAGAATTAGTGAAGTCAAGATTTACGTGCCAAATTATCAAATTTTCATGAAAACCGCTGTTTGCAAAGGCATAATATATATCCTCTTGTTGTTTTATGACTTGTATTTTAGTAATAAAATGCCATTTCGTAAAACAGAAGTTGTTCGGAGAGACCGGCTATATTTTTTAAAGGGTAATTTGTTCAACGTTCTACCAATGATCGTCATTGGTGGTTGGATAAACTGGACGTTCAGTGGTTTTGTGACGACCCGAGTTCCATTTCCGCTTACGTTAAAGTTTAAGCCAATGCTTCAGAGAGGTTTGTTTTGAGAATTTATCCCTAAAAATCATGATGAATTTTCGAATCCAATTTCAGATGAAGCATTGCTCAGTTTTGCTACTTTAGATTTCAAATTTGAAAAAAGCGCATACTTATTTCTCTGCCTTTAAAACTAAAAAATTCAGAAGTGAGGTTGGAATTGCAAGTTGCTAAGGGAAATTCTCGAAGCTAGACCAAATTTCATCATCTAGAATTTTTTAGGAATTGAACTAGCGTCTTTGGACGCTGCATGGGTATCATCAGCATCATGGTACTTCTTAAATGTGTTTGGCCTGCGCGCAATCTATACTTTGGTACTGGGTGAAAATAATGCAGCTGATCAATCCCGGATGATGGAGGAACAGATGAGCGGTGCAGCAATGGCAGTACCACAAGATCCGAAGCAAGCCTTCAAAGCAGAATGGGAAGCCCTTCAGATGACAACACATCAGTTCATATTGAATAAGTAATCACTGTTCTATTTACAAATAGGGGTTGTAGGCTTTGCAGGACAGTATGGAAATGTTTCTAAGTTCTTGTAAAATTTTGTTAATTTTTCGCGAGAAAAAAAATAAACATTTTGCCATTGCCCTACAAATTTCATAAAATGTGTTAAAATTAGAGCTCTGGCAGATGTTTCAGTCGTTTGCTGGAATTAGGAATGGAATGAAATAAATATGGCGCGCAAATATAAAGTCACTACTAGTGCTAGATCAGCTGCTATGCAATTCTTTGCAATGATTCTTAATTTTTTATATTATTTCTATACAGTCCTCTAATTTTCTTTTTTTTTTGTGAAAGATTCTGGTCTATGCTAATGATATTCGTCTTGGACCATGAACTAAATCCTGAACAATCAGTTCATGCTATGAATTTTGCTTCGATGCATTGTTTTGTGCAGAATTTCAATTGTCATAAAACTATATCAAAAGGATTACCACCTGAGAACAGTGGAAGCATTATCAATAATCAAAGGAAAGATCTAGAAAAATCACTAATGTATTCATATTCAGTCGCTGCAACGACCTACTGTTTGCGAAATCCGATTAACGTGATCTTCACCTGCACGTTACATTTAGACCACATTACCCTGAACGTTTCTCAAAATCCACCTGGTTATCATTATGGATAATCAAAAAAATTGATTCGGGTAACCTTCCACATCCCAAGCGGGTTTAAAATTCTTGATAATCTGAAATGATCTTTGTTTCCTCCATAAATACTTTTTGTAGATTAACGTTTTTCGATTAACGGTACTTTTTGTAAAGGTAAAAAAATAAAAGCCAACGGAAAGCAAAAAAAATGAACGGTAGTAGAGAAAATGTAAGGGACCGTGTTTTTGGTAATCTTTTATTCATATACACTGCATATCCCTTTCTTCATCCTTAAATATCACATCAAGCCTTTTTTCCTAATTTTCGCTTACTGCGTTATGAAATTCGCTCTTCATGCTTTTTTGATTTTCGCTGAAAAGTTCCCTCTTCTGTTTTCTTGGGTCGTTGGTGAAGAGTTTCTTTTCCGTCGGTAAGTTTATCTATTGTAGCATGTAAAAAGCTTACGTGATGTTGCAGATGAGCAAGCTCCGAGGAGGTGATATCCTTAGCAAATGCTCAATACTTTTACTTTCATCGATATTGCTCTTCTTGATATAAATGATAGCCTGCGAATAAAAAGCTCGGTGTTTTAATGGAAAGAATGACCGCAATCCAGAAGCTGCAATAACGAAACGATATCAGACTGTCCTATTAATTAAATTCCTTCTGAAAAGACAAGACCTGAAGTATAAAAATGATTTAGAATTACAAAAAATGCAGTGTAAATCTGCAAATATCCGAAGGAAACAATATTTCAGTTCAAGTTTAGCAGAAATTGCGAAGGAGTTTTATTTTTGTAATCAACTACGAGAAATACTACTATGAGTTAAGAGTTATTTATATGTAGTAGCAAAAAAGGGAATAAGTCCAAATCTTTCTGATGTTTACTCATGTATCACATCGGTGAAATAAGCAAAAATTGTTAATTTTGCTTGGAAGAGTATTTAAGATTTCTCGTAGCTTTACATTATCCGATACAAGTTTTGTAACAACTTTGTGGGACAGTATGACTGGAAAATACGCTAATAATTCATAGCTTCTAACTCCTGGTTTCGGTTAGGAGATTATTAATTAAATAAAGACGTCTTCCAACATTGAACTGATGAGTAACTGTATTCTAGATAATGAGGCAAAAGAAAAACGAACTCTTTGGTTGTATTTTACCACATGTATAAGACGAATCGATGACAGAATAAATAACATCACTAACAGAGAACTTCAGCCATTCAAAATCTTCCATATTAAATGGATCGAACCGCATTTGCAACTCAGAAACAGCTTCATCAATCATAATCCTTCTTAAATTACCCCAATCCCCATGACGAATATAATCCGCACATAACACAGTAGCCTAGAAATAATTTTGTTGATAACTAATATGGTGAAAGTATGATGAGATACCATGTTACGGGCGTGAGTGTACGATCAATAATTTTCAAAGTAGCAACATTACATTTCATGTTTTGTTAAGGAATCTCAATGCACTGTCAGCAGTTAGATTATGTCATAAGAGGGTATTTTCAAGAACAGCAATTCCATATTTGATTGCATATCTTCCAAGTATGTAATCGAAAATTGTTGCAATTTTCTAATTGAGGAGCATCAGTTATTGCTAATCATTGCAGTCAAACTGCTTTGGAGATCTAATTCAATTTTATCAGCAAAAACGTGAAGATTTTAAACAAGAAAACATGAAAGAGGAAGCTCTAATACGGAAGCTTGAAAAGCTGAAATCAAAATTTCAAAGTACAACTGAATCTCTAACCAGAAACCAAATTTTGAAAGATATAAATGAATATGAGCAGGAACATTATGCATGGAACTATATGCTAAAATTTTGAAAATGATATATTTACCTACCCACGACCACGTATGGTTTTCATATTTCTCTCGTTATTCTAAAACTGGGAAATAAAAAATAGAATCTAAGGAACTTCCATTTAGAGGCTTCTAAAATAACTCATAAAATTCATGGACCGCATTCGCTTTTTTCTTTCTTTTTTTGTTAGATTTTTATTCATTTTATTAAACTGAAAATACAATCTATGATAAAAAAGAAACAAAAAACCATAAAAATTCGAAAGCAGAGGATTTTCTTTTTCGAACCAATTTTCATGGAAAAAAAGCCATTATATTACTACTGTCATTACCTGTATTGCACCGTTGAGAAAGCCTTCAACGGTGAATTCCTTTTCGAAAAAATGTCGATACCGAAATTGAGCAAAAATATTTCCCAATCTCCGATTCAAATCAAAAACTGGTACTACAGATTTATCTTCCTCCAGCAGAATGAAAGATTTATCGGCACTTTTTGATGCATTTAACTCTGATATCTGGAAAACATATTTTCACTAAATAAGAACAACCAAATTTCACCAGTAATGAACTTATCGCTGTGCTAATTAATTAATGATTTCGAATATGTTGATTGAAATGAAATCATGGTCAACTAAAATTATTATAGATTACAGACCCCTAACTTATTTGTGCATGATCATTTTCATTCTCCGGATTGCAATCCCAAGGAATGATTCAAGTTAAAAGAATCTTCGGAGCTACAGAATGGTGAAGATAAGTGAACACAAATCAAGAAACTAGTGATTACATAAAGTTGGATCAGTATAAGGTCATCCTTCCTTCTTTACTGATTGATAATTCTGCGATTTTTCCATAATAAGTTCACGAAAAAATTGCTGTTTTCACTGCGATGTTTGTGAAGCAGTTTGAACCAAATCAAACGAAAACAACTTTTTTAAAATAACCACAACGTATTCATCGTAAAATTATTAATCCACTTATTTAAGATGGTTAGAATTTCGCCCTCTGCCTAGTCTTCTGCAGTTCACCTTATTTTAAAACACTAATCCATCATATCATTTGGTTCCATAGTTGGAACGAATAAAATTAATTACAGTATACAAACCACCAAAGAATTAAAAAACCATACCTGGTGATTAGAAATTGACGACTGCGCAAAGCTTGAAAATTTCTGAAAAGCAGCTTGGCACCTTGTACTCGTCAAATGACAAGCAATAACACGGAACATATCCTGAATTATTTGAAAAACATCTCCTTCGCCATATCTCCTAGAATAGAATTCCAATAAATTTTTCTCAAACTTAATTCTTCTATATTTTGGTCCGCCAATTCAATTACAATAACAACCACAACCACAAGCCTTCAGTTCTGCTAAACACTACAAATCAATTAATTAATCCGAGTATCCCAGAATATTTTTGAGAAGAAAATTACTCTCTTGTTAAATTACCCCTTGAGAGCTTGATAACACAAGAAAGCTTCAAAATTGGATAGCTTAAATAACCAATAAACTGTCAGTTCTTATCACATAATATTGATGCTCCTTCAAAAATCCGATCGGCGAATAGTTTAATAAAGCTGGTAAAGAAATCACTTCTCAACACTCTGTCTTCTCAACCGAAACAGTCAACAAAAAATAAAATTTAAACGACAACATCCAATAGGATCACATTCCGAAATATGCAAGGTACACGGCTTTCATCGGTTTTCCTCCAAAGCATTCAATTCAGAAATTCGTCCGACAAATTACTTCAGGAAATTGATATTACAAAAAAGCAGCGATTTTTGCCTTGACGGATCTTCTCCCTCACATTCTATCCATTTACCTGAATTTCATAGCAGAGAGCTATTGTTTCAGTTCTTATCCTCAGATAATCCGTAACTATCTCATATCTGTCCATCCCGCATTCCCATGACTCCATCCCATATCTCATAACAGTATTTCTTCTCTTGCACTAAACTCATTTTGGCGGTAGCTCGATCGATACTATAAACCGGATATGATATGTAAAGATAACAAATAACCATGATATCACAACCGGAACTTCATCGGTATTCGACACATCTAAGACAAATTCTACGTGTTTTAATCTCGACATTTTTTTAATGAGACATACCCAGAAACACTGAGGTATTTCCAGTAATTAGCGACCAATACAAAGCAAGATTATTAAGAAGCAAGACCAACTAGAAGGAATATGGTATGATAAACCCAAAGGTAAGCGGTCATCACGACCAAAGGTAAGCGGTCATCACGAATGTTTCTTGACCCGAATTTTACAGCCCGTTAAATTCTTTCCCTATTTTAAACGAAGCTCAGTTTTTGTATCTGTTAAAACCAACTGTTGAAAATAGAAAATCTTAAAAAAGGGAGTAAAATATCCTACATGAAATCTTTATCGTAATAAATTTTGGTGTATGCAAAAGGAACAAGATTATTTGGAGAGAAAACCAAAAAATATATTTCAGAAAAAAGGTTCTACAACAAAATTATGCGAGATTAAAATTAACAGCTTAAAACAACGTGTAATGGA